GTTGTCAACATGTACAGTAATGATAAATCCAGACTTTTGACTGTTTAGCGTTAGCTGTTAGCTTCATCACACGCTCACCTGGTTTCTGAGCTCCAGTTTTATAGAACCTCCTTGGTGAGGAAGAGTTCATTTAAAGAAATGTTTTTATAAATAATTTAATGTTTTCTGCTCCTCAGAGGAAAATTCAACCAAAACACAGAGCGTGATGAAGGCTGAGGAGCAGAACCAGGAGCCGACAGAAGTCGAGACGGTTTTAAATGGAGAGAAGAAGAAAAAGAAGAAAAGAAAGAGAGCGAGAGAAGAGCAGGAGGCTGCAGTCGCCCCGTCAGAGCCGCAGGAGGAAGAGGAGCCAGCAGGAGGCGACAGAGTCGGTGAGGAAAAGTTTGTTTATTTAATTAAACTGTTATTTTTTAATAAATAACTTCATGTTTTCTGCTCCTCAGAGGAAAATTCAACCAAAACTAAAAAACGTTGCAGGAACAAACCGAGCTGGAAGAAGAGACAAAAGTTTCAAACTAAAGTGACGATGATGAAGATGAAGAGCATCAGATGGTCTCCAGGACACGTCGTCGTCACGGGAAGAAACAAGTCCGTTTTTAAAAAACAAAATCTTTAAAGAACAAAAACTAGAGCTGAGTTCATGTTTTGTTTTCAGGCTGCAGCTGAAAGAAGAAAACGAGTCTTTACAGAAAGAGAAGAAGAAGAGGAAGAGGAGGAGYGCGATGAAGGCTGAGGAGCCCACAGAAGAAGCAGAGATGTTTTCAAACGGAGAGAAGAAGAAGAAGAAGAGGAAAGAAAAGATGGAAGAAGATTCAAGTCTGGTTCCTGTGACCGAGCTGCCAGCAAAGAGACACAGTGAGACCTCCTCCTCCTCTTCCTCATTTTTATTTTCATTTATTTACAAAAATAAAATCCCAACATGTCCACAGAGAAGAAGAGGGCGAAACAGGAAGAGGCAGAGCCTGAGGAAGAGGAGCAAACTCCTCCTGTGGTGAGAAACAAAACAAGATTCAAAAGTTATAAATAAAAGTTTTTATCCTCAGCATTAATAAAACATTTATGCTGCTAAACGTATTGTTTCAACGTTAGCTTCTAATCTGAAAATTCTTGTTTGCAGAAAAAGAAGAAGAAATCCTCCAAAAACAAGTTAAACAGGTTGGTTTTCAAAGTAAAACGTCTGGATATTAAAACAGGAAGTGAGGTCACAGATGTTCTGTCCAACAGGAAGTTCATCCAGGCTTAAAAAATGAGTTCATATTAAACATTTACAGCAGCAGTTTGAAYAAACTGTAGATTAAAATGAACTAAAGTTGTTTTTTAATCCTGGATTAAGACTTTAGTCGCACTAAAACGGTTTAAATGATTTATTTACTCATTTCCTCCTGGAGATTATTTGATGTAATCTTAGAATTACAGCTTGTTTACGKTGAAAACATTATTAAAGGGATCCACAATTAGTTGTAACATCAGACTTTATTTGATGAACATTTATTTTAACTGTAAAATAAAGACTGTAAAAATACTGGAGGACCTCAGTTTAGCTTGTTAGTTTGTTGCGCTAGCGCCGAGCTAATACATATAGCGTCAGGGCTAATGCTAAAGCTAACAGGCTAAGCTGAGGTTCTTGTTCCATGCAGCAGCTCTGTTGTCCTCCATCCATATTTTCAGTTGCAGGCTGTTAAAATAAATGTTTATCAAATAAAGTTTAATGTTACAACTAATCGTGGATCCCTTTGACTGTAATATATATTATATTAAAGTCTTTTTTTCTGTCTTGCAGGGCGTTTTGGACCTGAAAATAAAAATGTTAGTGTTTTCTGTTCCTGTGTGAAGCTGTTAGTTTTCTGTAAATGAAACAATAAGTTTCATTGATTAGTTAAAAAATATCAAAGTCCTGAAAGTTACAGGAGCAAACGGTGAAAAATTTAATGTTTCAGCTGCTTTGGGAACAAATCTTTCTGCTGTGGACACTTTAATGACTAAAACAAAGTTTTAACCCTGACAAACTTCATCCTACAGTTACTGCATGAGGAGGTTTGGATTCAAGAGATTTCTACTTGTTTCTGTGTTTTTTTTGGTTAGATTTATATGTTTGAGTTTTTCTTTTTGTTTCACAAAGATTTAGATTAAAATCTTTAACAGTTGTAGAAATTTAAACACTGTTCTTTAATGTTCTTGAAATTCAGAGAAAAAAAGTTTGTTTCAAACTTTATTAATAAAACCTTTCTTCAAGCCTGACTCTTTATTTTCCTGTGTACAAATACATACATGTGTACTTATTTCAAACAGCTGTTTTTCCCAAATCCACTTCTGCTTTTAGAGAAAAGTAAACACAAGCCTGAAAACTGTCCAATTTATTTCATTTTGATTTTTGTTTTTTATATGTACAATAAAAAAAATAAATAGAAATAAAAAGAAATGAAAAGCAGCAGAGAGAAGAAAAAAAATCTTATTTGCCCCTTTTTTTCTCAAGTATAAATTCAAACTATAATAATCTTCAGTTAAAACAAAACATCGAATCTTTGTAGAACAACAAATTGAAAGGTTAAATATTAAACCATTTCATATTTTTTAACTATCTAGTCTTTATCATTCTCTTAAACACATACATTGATGTGGCCCTTTTTCATTTTCCAGATTATTCCACAATCTGACTCCTTGGATTGAGCTGCACCGTTCTTTYAAACAGGTYCTAAATTTAGGTTTCATGAACATCTCTGTTCCCTTTAGATTATAATCCCTTTAGATTATAACAGCTTTCTCTCTTCGCAAAGTTCATCTCTATGTTTGAAGGTAAATGTGTTTCAGTGTGCTTCATACATAAAATATTATAATCAGCTAAATCATCAGTTCTGATCTGTGAGCACATTATTCTCTAATATTTGAGTTAATTTATGTCCATCAAGTAAATAAACTGTTTAAAATCCTAGATTTGTGCAATCTAACATTTATTTTAATATAAATACAAACTGGACTATTTTGATGTTTTAGAAAATAAATTTAAAAAATGACAAGTTTTGATCAGAAAATAAGTCACTTTCTGTTAATTTCTTTTTAAATCCAAACAAAAACCTCCCGACTGACAACAGCAGCTCATGTCAGCGATCAGTCACCAGCTGATCACTATTTAACAAGAAATAATTAAATAAATGCAACTTATTTAACAGGATCACAAACTTTTCTTACCCTTTTAAAAAGTATTTTCCTGCAGAAACATCTTCAACTTTTTATTTTCCGCATCTTTTACCTGAAAAAACAAACAAAAACAGAAACAGGTCAACGTTTTTTTTAATCAAGCACATTTGAAGCTCAACAAAATAAATGAAGATATTTCATGAAGTGAAGGATTGTGGGAGAATCTTAGATATATCTTTTACCTTAAACATTTTGTATTTACCTCTGTGTCTGTTTGCAAAATATCCACTAAAAAAACACTGAATGAATTTAATAAAACTTTATGGAAACAATCCCAGTTTCTTTTCACTTTATGGTCAAATCCTCCACCTGTAAACACAACAACAGCTAAAAGTAGGTGTGGTAGTAGCGGAGAGTTTTTACAGTACAGACTCTGAGCACTAAAAGACAGAGATCAGGTTATGTTTAAGGTTTGATTAAATATCTCATTTCTCATCTGAAGATAAAAAATAATCCTTCCAGCAGTTCTCAGAGCTGCCAGCAGGGGGCAGTGTTAGCTCAGAGTTGGCTCTGGTTTGTCTCAGGGATTGTTTGYTTGTTTGTTTGTTTGTTTGTCCCTCGACTCCTTCCTGTTTTTACCTGCTGGTCTTTGTCTCTGCAGACAAAAACACTGCTGGACTCGTTCAGACCGGATCAGAATATCTGAACATTTTAAGTCCTCCAGTTTCCTGAGAAAAGATGCTTCACCTGAACGCCTCACAGAGACAAAACTTTACCTCACCGAGTCCCAAAATCAGAACATAAACTATGTTTTCATGAAGATGTTGTCACACGCCAAGKAAAGGAAAGTAATAATGTTTTTGATGTGTCTGTTAGCAAAATATCTAATGAACCACTGGATGGTTTTTATCGAAGGTTAAAAAAGCAAAAAGGGTTGAAATGAAGCAGAAATTGAAGTCAGTTCTGGGGCAGTGGTAGGTGAGAGTCATCCCCTACAGACTCTCTGAGGGCTAACAAACTAAACAAGCTCAAATCAAACAACAAAATATATCAATAAAACATTTTTGTTTTGCTACTTTTACCTAACATTGTCACTTTTAGCCAAAGTTTGTTGTTATTTTAGCCAGAATTTTTGTAATTTTAGCTGTATTTTGCTATTTTCAACCATCAGATTTCTACTTTTAGCTAACATTTAGTTACTTTTAGTTAGCGTTTTACTAATTTCAGCCGACAGCTTGCTGCTTTCAGCCAGCATTCTGCTACTTGTAGCCAGTCTTTTATCACCATTAACCAGAATTTGTCTAATTTAAGCTACCATTTTGCTACAATCAGCCGTCATCTTGCTACTTTCAGCCAGCTAGCATGAGGTTACCGTAGCTAACATTTAGCTAATTTTAGCTAGTGATTTGCTACTTGAACCTAGTCATTTATCAACAATAACCAGTATTTTGACATTTTAGCTGGCAATTTGATATTTTCAGCCAAAATTTAGCTACTTTTAGCTGTCATTAGCCAGTGTTTTCCCATTTTCAGCCAAGATTTAGCTACTTTTAGCTAACACTTTGCTATTCTTAGCATTTGCTATCAGCCAATGTTTTGCTATTTTAGCATTTTGTTACTTGAACCTAGTCATTTATCAACAATAACCAGTATTTTGACATTTTAGCTGGCAATTTGATATTTTCAGCCAAAATTTAGCTACTTTTAGCTGTCATTAGCCAGTGTTTTCCCATTTTCAGCCAAGATTTAGCTACTTTTAGCTAACACTTTGCT